TTAACCTGGGTCTCTTGGGTAATAAATGTTGGCGGAGTAGTGTACCGACTCTTCAGGAGGTCTCTTTATTAAGCTGATGGTTGAATGCTTTTGGTCAAAGTCCCTTTGAGTGAGGTTGGGAAAGATAAAAGTAAGGCAAGAAAGAAAGAAAGAGAGAGAGAGAGGGAGGGAAGGAAGAAATGGAAGGAATGGAAGGAAGAAAGGAAGGGAGGAAGGAAGGCAAGCAGGCAGGAAGGCAGGCAGGCTACAAAGAGTAAAAAAAAAAGATTAAGCACTCTTAGAGATAAAACCAGCAATCCTTATCCATACTTTGTATAGGTCATTACCTTTGTTCACTACGTATATAAGTAACAGACCCATGTTAAAACATTGGGAGATTACGCCTAATGTTAAGATACATTTCTCTTTTTCCTAAAGACAACATTTACCAAAGGTAGTTAAGAGATGTGTTCGGGGGTAAGGGCAGGCAAGGTGATAGACACCTGTAAACCCAGCTTCTCAGGAGGCAGAAGCAGCGTGAGGATTGTGGTTTGAGACTGTCCCAGGGAAGTAAAATTTATGAGATTCTTATCTTCAATTAATCAGCAAAAAGGCAGAAATGGAGGTGTGGCTCAAGTGGTAGAGCACCAGCCTTGAGCAAAAAGCTAATTGAGCATGTCAGGCTCTGAGTTCAAACCCCTATACTGACACACACACAAACACACAATGGAAGTCTAGAAGATGATTCTGCTTGCTTTAAGCCTACCACTTCAACTTAAGTGTTTTATTTATTTATGTCAGTTGAGGGGCTTGAACTCTGGGCCTGGGTGCTGTCCCTCAGTGATTCAGCTAAAGGCAAGCACTCTATTGTTTGAGCCACAGCGCCACTTCTGGTTTTCTGATACGTTCACTGGAGATAAAAGTCTCATAGCTTTTTTTTTTTTTTGGGTCCGGTCGTGGGGCCTGAACTCTGGGCTTGGGCGCTGTCCCTTAGCTCTTCAGCTCAAGGCCAGCGCTCTACCACTTGAGCCACAGTGCCACTTCTGGCTTTTTTCTTTTTGCTTATGTGGTGCTGAGGAATCGAACCCAGGGTCTCAGGCATGCAAGGCAAGTGCTCTAACCACTGAGCCACCTTCCTAGCTCATGGCTTTTTTCTGTACTGGCTGACTTTGAACTGAGATCCTCAGAACTCAACTTCCTGAGTAGCGAGGATGTCTACAGCCATACCACCCTGAACGGGCCCGATCTTGTCTGAGTAGCGAGGATGACAGGTCTAAGCCACCGGCACCTGGCAACTGAAGTGTTTTCTGACACTCACTTGTGCTGTTCAATGCTGTTCAAGAGAATTTTATATTTTCTAGCAACTCCACTTACAAGAAGAAACAAGTAAAACTAATTTTAATAATGTATTTGATTAAGATATTATCTTTCCAACATGGGACAAGGATGGTTTGTTTGGCCCCCAACTTTGGTTAGACCCCTGAACCTTCTTCTAAGCTCATCTGTGTAACACTTTCTGGTAAAATCCAGTTTTAGCCAAAAAAAAAAAAAAAGTCTAGTTAAATCAGTTTAACCACAACCTCCTATCCTTAGTAACTGATCATTCTTGATATCTGAACAGGTTCCTCATCCTCCATCCATTCCTTAACCACCCTAGTGTGTCTTAAGCAAGAATCCTGTTAGATGGGTTTAGCAAGAATTCTCCTTGGCCCCAATATTTCTGCTTAGTAATTTTCCATCCGCCTGCCCCAATAGTTATAAATTCTTGGTTATGAATTCCTACTTGTGGGCTCATTGTTGGCTCACACCCGTTATCCTAGCTATTCAGGAGTCTTAGGTCTGAGGATCATGTTTCAAAGCCAGCCTGGGAAATATGAGAATCTTTATCTCCAATGAATCTTTATCTCCAGAAATCCAGAAGTGGTGCTGTGGCTCAAGTGGTAGAGTGCTCGTCTTGAGTTGAAGAGTTCAGGGACAGTGTCTGGGCCCAGAGTTCAAGCCATATGTATATATGGCTTTTGTCTATAAAGCTGTGAATTATAAGTGTATATCACATAAGCCAGGCTGTACAATTGATATGCCTGAACTATGAAAGTGTCAAAAACGCTGTATATGAATGTGGATTTTTGAATAAAAAGCCAAATCCAGAAAGAGAAGTTTGGAGGTTTTCCTTGAGTTTGCTTCTCTTTCTCAAAAGAGCAGGAGGTAGGGACAGACTAACTTAACAGAAGTAGGGAGAGAAGAACCAAGCCTTCCTACTCCTCCCAGACTCTTGTGTTTAATTCTAGCATCTTAACATGAATAATGACAAGTGAGGGTAAATCAAAGAGCCCCCAGGGGAGTTGTAAAAAGGCTTGAACACCGCTATGAACCACAGATAAAAGCATTAACAACATGGCTTCTAAAGAATCTGTGGCTGGGCAGCTGGTGGCTCACGCCTGTAATCCTAACTACTCCGGAGGCTGAGATCTAAGGATCACAGTTCAAAGCCAGCCCAGGCAGGAAACTCCGTGAGACTCTTACCTCCAATAAACCACTAGAAAATGGGAAGTGGCATTGTGGCTCAAGCGTTAGAATGCTTGCCTTGAGCTGAAGAGCTGAGGGATGAGCTGAAGAGCTGAGGGATGAGCTGAAGAGCTGAGGGATAGCGTCCAAGTCCGGAGTTCAAGCCCCACGACCAAAAAAAAAAAACAATCTGCAGCTGGGTTAGAGGGAAGCAGAAGAGAAAGAAGGTATAGGATAGATAGCCATATTGGTAAATACTTAAAAGGGGAAAGCAATAGCAACAAATAAAACTACTCACTGAAGACAAGGTAAGATGGATGAATGCAAGGCAAGTGTTTTTTTTTTTTTTGGATGACAGGCATGAGTCACCCGTGCCCAGTTGTTTTGTTGTCTTATTCATTTATTTTTTAATGGAGAAAGATGTCACAGAGGCAGGAAAATTTTAACTCCATAAGATAGAGGAAGTTCATATTACCAAGGGCTCCTCCCAACACTGAGAATAAATTTTATTGGTCCCAAATCCTGAAGAGAAAGAGATGGGGTAGAGGTTCAGTAGTACACTGGCCTTGATGTGACGAGTCCTGTGAATGAATCTTGGTTTATCTTTTAGGAACCAAGGTCACCTTGAGCAAGCCACTAAGACTCTCTAAGGGCTTCCTCTCTCAAATAGAGTTCATCTCATTTTTCCTTCTGCCATTATTCAAATGCTTTGTAAGTTATAATAAGCCACATAAATAAGGTTCTGTGCTTGCAGGGAATAAATGATTTTTTTCTTTGAAAAGCCCCTTAACTGAGAGCTGTTCTTCTCCCCCCACCTTCCTACTCTATTTTGGGTCCTGCCTTCCTATACCCAGCTATTCCTGTTACCTTCATTCATACTCTTATTTTACTGTGAGACATAGAGTTTACTCTAAGGAGAAATGCAAATAAGTATTTTTTTGGTCAGTGATGGGGCTTGAACTCAAGGCCTGGGCACTGTCCCTGAGCTTTTTTGGTCAAGGCGAGCACTCTACCACTTTGAGCATAGTGACACTTCTGGTTTTCTGGCGGTTTATTGGAGATCAGAATCTCACAGACTTTCTTGCCTGGGCTGGCTTTGATTGCCATCCTTAGGTCTCAGCCTCTTGAGACAGCTAGGATTACAGATGTGAGCCACCAGAGCTTGGCTAGTCTTTCTTTTTTTCTTCTTCTTCTTCCCCCCCCAAGAGGTGGGATAATGGATCAATAGAGTCAAAATCTGTAAGAACTCTTTTTTTTTTTTGTCGGTCGTGGGGCCTGAACTCTGGGTCTGGGCGCTGTCCCTCAGCTCTTCAGCTCAAGGCTAGTGCTCTACCACCTGAGCCACAGCGCCACTTCTGGCTTTTTTTCTTTTTGCTTATGTGGTGCTGAGGAATCGAACCCAGGGCCTCAGGCATGCAAGGCAAGCGCTCTACCACTGAGCCCCCTTCCCAGCCCTGTGCATGTGTTTTTAAATGGTGGGCTTCACATCTCAGGTCTTGGAAGAGGAGACTGACCTTTCCTTCCTTTGCCAACAAATAACCCATCCTCCCCAGCTGAACTTGTTTTTTTTTCCCACATTTAAAAAAATTTTTCTTTTTTTAAAATAAAGTTTGTGCTCTAAGTGTCTCTTTTGTTCAACTCCCCCCCCCCATAGTTACAGGTTGCTGACCTCCAAAACCCCCAGTTCTGGAGTCCAAGGACTGGAGTTTCAAATACCAGGTTACTGCCAGGCTGGGGCCCTGAAGTTTATCTATCAGAGGAGGGTGATTTCCCTAGCTCAGAAGAGTTGTGAAGGATGAAGTGTATTAAGTTCAACCCTAAGACACGTGAGCAGGATTAACCTTGTCCAGTACAAACCTGTCTGGGTTTTTCCCTCGGCTTCCAGACTGGGGGGGGTGAGGAGGAGAAGGGGGGAGGGGGGAGGAGGAGACGGGTGGACACTATGTGGAAAATAAATGACCACTTGTGGGAGGTCCGGGACGGGAAGGAGGGAAACTGAGGAAAAGTGAAGGAAAGGGGGTCTAAAAAGGGTCTAAAACAAAAAAAAAGGAAATGTACACATCACTCACTTCATAGAAACAAAAACTGTATTTGAAGAAAAAGATTGAAAAAAGAAAACGAAAAAAAAAGTCTGGGCCTGAAAATTACCTCAAGTCACCGAAGAGAAACCCAGAATGGAGGGCGCCGGGCCGTCCGTCCACAGGTGAGCAGCCCGGGAGTGGGCGCGGCTCACCGGAAGGGGCGTGGCTAGCGCCCGCGCCCGCGCACTACCCTCCGCTAACTCTGCGCATGTGCGCTGCCTAAAAGGCGGGACTACGGGCGTGTGTGGGGAGGAAGAGGCCGGAAAGTGGGGCGGGACACGTCTGGAGTATTTCCTGGAAGGGAGCGAATGAGAGCGCAGAGAGGGCGGGGAAAAGAGATTATACTATGCAAAAAAGGGAGGGGGGCGTGTCCAAGAAGGCGGAAGCAGCGCTATTATCAGCTGACCGGGCCTGGGGCCTCGTGACAGCCTGGGGCGGCGTAGACGCAGGCGCTGTGAGCCCGGGTGAAGATGGCGGCCTCCAGAGTGAGCCTCTTGAGAGGCTGAGGGAGGAGGCGGAGGGGAGGGGGGTGGCGGGGGAACCCGTGGCGGTCGAACCTTCGAGGCTTGCGGCTGGTGGGGGGGGAAAGGATAAAGGAGGCCGGAGAGAGGGGCGTCTCCTCCCCCTCCCCACACACCCACCCGCCCCCTTCCGCCCCCAAACTTGTGGACGCCGCGGCCCGGCG